GCCGCTATTTATCCATTCACGTTTTGAACAAGTCTACTGACAGCACAGAAACTGCGTCACAGAGTAGGAGATCTCGTGAGTGGCAAACAGCGGGATAAAGCAATATCGGCAAATGAGATGGTTGTGTTTGTGTGCACGAAGTTATTACATCCTGTTTCGGGCTCCTTACAGGAGCTGGAGGCAGTCCTTATCGAGGATTTGATGAGCGCCCTATTATTCAATTCAGCCGCCACAAAACCAATCAGGTAAAATGATGTCAAACTGAGAAAGTATTCCGTCTCTCTGCCGCAGGAACAAACTTACGTGGAGATGTCAGTAACACTGGCTGACCTTCCGCCATTGCAGGGACATTTACCAACATCCAATATTTCCCTTAGACTCGTTAACTGACATTTTCGTCTCGCCATAGTTTACAGTCTTGTATCACCAGAAAATTCTTCAATAATTCATTTCAAGATGATTCCATATCTTCACATCCCTCTGACTTATCCACGTTACTGTGCTCTAAGCCTTCCGGCCCACCCACGCATCCCGGCACGCGCTTGAAGGATGACCTCGATTCTGGACATCCTAATCGATTGTGGTTCCCAGAATAATTCTTCGCTCACCTCGTCTTCCTGCCGTTTCTCATCAAAACAGAGGCGACGGAAAATGAAGAAACGGTCGCGCAATGCTTCTATGCTTTCAGCCATAGACTGCTTCTACTTACAAGAATGAATTTTCACCTTTTTTCTTGACCACTGTTCTCAAAAAGCCATAACTTCAGCCAGTATCATAAAAAGAGCCATCACAAATGGAGCAAAAATTCTGTGTAACGTTTTGGCTGTACCAAACAGCGATTAGCAATGAGTGAATAGATTTATAGCTGAATGTAATTTTTTACTAATCGCTGGAAGATGTAGGCGAACACCCAAATGCAAAGACATACAGTCCCATGGTTACTGCTCTTCAATCGGATGCTACGTAAACAATTTAAAATCCACGTAAACGACAAGTCTCCAGAGAAGACAAATATTTGACCCAACCCTTATCCCCTGGTTAGGTAATACGTTTTCTGTCGATAGATCAGGGGTTCCCTGCTCAGCGGATATCGTTTCGATCAGATCCCACCGGTGTTTTCCGCTGGGGGTATTCAATTTGAAAGATGTACTTTCCCATATTCTTCCAGGTTTTTATGGATGTACTACATATTTTTGAGATTTCTACCTTCATATCCATACATTTCGGGTTTTCGCACACTCTACGGTTCTTTCATATTAACGTGTCTTCATGACTTCGAGTGTCCACTCGGGGCGTTGAACTGGCTGTCTTCTCGTAACTCTTTTGGTCCGTGACATTCGATAAGTACAAATTCTGTATTGAGTAACAACGTAAAGCCAACTGAGAAACAAACAAATGGCTAGACTGTCTTGTACGAAGATCGATCATCTAGAAATCTGTTCGCCCACACATTACATGTGCTGATCTTGCCTGAGGCCAATTTTCTGTGCAATGAGCAACGAATTCGTGGCTACTATAACGGATTTCAGTAGCGAGAAGCTAACGACATTGGCCTATTGCATAGGCCACACATGATGCACTGGCTTCGTTTTCGAAAAAGTTTGGTGACAATCGAAAACGATGACTACCCAATCGGTTTCAAGTATTTTCCACGTGATTGAAAATGCACTGGCTTCATTCTGATGCTTATCTTGACACCATTTCAAAGTAAGGATCGAGGTGCAATTCCTTCTAGTGAAGCTGACGTATCAGCCGGCTGTGGTGGTTGTGTGGTCCTTCCGAGGCTCGCCGTTTGTTCCAATCCCTAAAACGCACATTTCCAGCTGGAACTGTGTGGTCCTCAGCTTAAGCCTCGAGGACAAGATGCCAGTCGCAACCCAAGATATGGTTCTGTATTCCTCCCTTTGCTGTTATTCAGCGGAGTATTTTCAGCGCATGAAGTGGCAACTTTCTAACAGAATACGTGAGCATCTCTCTTACTGGAACACCTTTGGACTCAACAATTTAGCCAAAAAGTCGATTGCATCCTACTTAAATGAGATCAGGCATGTATTTCAAATGAGTCGTCTCATCCCATTTACCGTGCACCAGTATTGATCCAACGGCGTGTCACGTGACACGAATCAACCGACAAAATCATTCAACAGCCCCTAGACTGTCTCCAATTAGCTGCGATGTGGGGACGCGGACAACCAATCGTTCGTGTCTCCACGTTTTGCATTTCGCTAACCAATCTTCGCTGCGTATTGCATTTTTCGCTCTTGTTTTAACCATTAGAAGTGTACTGACCTGATGAGGAGATCCAAAAAAACATCAAAGTTGGCTACTGTGTTCTTTTTCAAACCACCAGTATACTTGTCCAGTTACGCAAATTCAACCCCGAATTTTGCGATGAGCCGTTGAGCAATCACAGTATGCATCTTGATTTACTGGAGTGAAAAGTTGTGTACCTCACGCTTTTACTTGAATACTTCTTTACTTCTCCTAGGTCAAAAACCAAGGCGTCATGAAAGTGTGCCAACTCACAGATCGGATCGAAGTGTTGGAACAGGAAGTCGAAAAATATCGTATTCTAGCTGGGATTGAAAGGCTTACAAAATCTCCGATTCTTGATGAACACACCCGTGGTCATGGACGTTTGAACGCATATAGATATTCCGATGCTTCAGAAGAGGATTCCAGACATTCCTCAGCTGACGGACGAAGAAAACGTATTCAGAGAGTTGGCTTTAGTGTGCCGGACGCATACGACACTAGCCCCCCACATACAAGGGCAACGGTGAGGCCGAGGGCAAGCAGCGAAGTAGCACACTCATCCTTCGGTCAGTTTAAGTTGCGTGAGGATGACCGGGTTCATCGTTTAGAAGGTGTCACAGACCAAATCTCACCTCCCCCTGCACCAGTAGATGATCTGGTAAGAACAAAAGCCTTTCTTCGGAAGTTCAAAGACTATAGCAGCGGCACTACAGATTCTGGGCTCGCCGGATCCAAGGGCAGTCGCCACGATTCCCGTGATACTACCCAACAATCTATCACCTCCAATGAAAGTATAGAACAAAAGGATTCTGACGAGTAAGTTGCTTCTCAAACTGTTTTGTGATAAAAGTCTTCCAGAAAAACAGATTAATCGAACAGATAACAAATGTCATCATAATATGATGGATAACAATTTCCCCGATTTCAGTCTGACCAAGTTTCACGACCGAAAATTTGCAAGTACTAGAAAACTGATGGAAAAAATCAAACTTCCCGCGGATTCACAGGCTTGAAATGAAGGAGTACTGTACTATTCTGTGCTAAGACCGCGATCTCAAGGAAAGGAATTGGTTAATTAGCCTAAACGCACGATCTAAGTGCCCTAGCTGACAGGCAAAGTGTAGACTAATTCACTGACGGACGGTCAGTAATAATTGCGGTGAAACCGAATTCTACGAACTTCACCTGCGTTTGTTCAGTAGTCGCAAATGGGCAGTGAACAATATATTGAATTAGACGTGGGCAGACAGTATAGATAGGTAGACCATGGTTCTATAAGAAATTAACAGTAAATCGTGAGGAGAATTAAAGAAAGGCTTACGGCTAGATTGAACCTTGGGCAGTTAGCAACACAGGATGGCACAGAAAGGGCAGTGTGTTATCGGACAAATTAAACGGGAAAAATGTTGTTCAGTTCAAAGTGGGACAAATTTTTAACAACAATGAATGTGAACAAATCGTTTATAGAAAAACAGTTGACTTAGAGTCGACTTTGTATAAAATAGAACAGTTCAGTCTTGAAACTTGAGCAGTCATCGAAAGGGTAATGAATTTGCCTGAGGAATAGGGAAACAAATAATTACGTCACGCAACTAACAAGTACATTCTGTATTTTTTTCCACTTCAGGTTCTTATTTCGCAAACCCGGTGGCCACTTTAGTGACAGTTTGCAGAGTATACAAGTATTTAGTTTTCTGATGATGACAGGTGGTCAGAGAGATTACCTGATTGAGAAGTTTAGACATGCGAGTCGGTCGATCGACATCGCTCCCCAGGACGGTGAATGAGTCTTGGGTAAAACCCTCACACCGTTAGAGTGCGAACACATTCGCGATAACTCAACTATGTACAGCGCACCTTAGTGACATGGTGGTAACACGTTTATTGGGCGCTGAAACTCTGGCACAGTCCGGAACAGGAACTGCTCCTAAAATGGTAATGGGAGAATAAATTTAGCCCAGTGCTTCGCCTCTTTGATGCGGACAAACCAGTGCGGTAGGACAGAAACAGAACTGCCTAAGGATGGTAACCCAAGTTCCGTACTTTCCTCAACTGCGTTCAAACACGCGCCAATTTTGAACGGTGACTTATCAGTACCAGTCGTTAGCACTGTATAACCAATGTCGAATTCAAATGACCGTATCACCCGTCCCCAGCGTTCCTGAGAAAGGGACAAAGTCGATTTCCCTCTTAAATTTCAAAATTTCACATCCTGGACTGGCTCGAAATTTCCTGAAATCAGGGCACATTAGGCTTCCTAAATCTCTGTTCAACTGACTGGGTATGACGCTGAGAAAACGTTGGGCAACACATGAATGGCAAATCTGATGCAGTGAAGATTCAACATAAATATTTCAAAAAGATACCTTTTCGATTTAAAACTTGGACAGATGAATGTAAAATGATGTTACTCAGCGACGGATCCGAAATAGGATGGACATTTTGCGCATGCAATGGGCACCGGACCAAATGATCACTGGCATCTTGGCTTTCATGCAAGCATCACCATAACTCATACGGTCTTCGTTGTAGATGCATGCTGTAGCCCCGTGCCTAAGGCGATGACGGATTCCCCCTTAGTGAGCTAGAGGCTTGTCAGTAGTGTGAGTCTAGAATTCACCCAGATTGGAAGTAAAACCAACCTATTACACGTTGAAACCAAGACTTTGACTCAGTGTTGGCAGGTGGTTCAGCCGAGTTCGATGCAGTGTGGTACTCACTCGATGTGAACCTGGCCGGGTCTCAAAAACCTAATTTGAACCATCAGTCTGTCGATTCCAGACAACACTTCTACGTCTCAGCTAATTAGTGGTAACACTAACTGTAAAAGAACAGCAAGAAAGGGGATGTGTCAGTACTCACCGCGCATCATCGACAGCCTTGGATATTTTAATTTGGTAAACTATATTGTCATCCGCACACCTCAAACGTCCACAGAAACTGCGATTGTAGTGCACTTTTGGTACAGTACACAGGCCACAAGATTTTCGCCGTTTTGGAATTAAATGCTGAAAAGCTTGAGAATAAACTTTAGTTTCACTGATGACCACGGATTTTAATACCAGTGAGAGAAAGAAGGCCTTCGCTACGGAGTTGTTTATAAAAAAAAACACCAATTGAACTATCACAGACTATTGGACAGGGAAGCTAAACTCTCGTATGAATCTTGTTTACACAAACTGAATATCCATCTTCTCCTTGAATGCGTGTTCCTGAACTTTCCTGGATATTAACTGACTGTTACTGAAATGCAAGCAAATGATACAAGGCGGCTCCACAAATTCTGTAATAGATATCAATTTTCAAGAGACGCGAAGCCGATTTACGAGAAAACCACATACTACTCGCATGTCTCGTCAGTAGTATCCACCGTTACACCAGTTATCCGCAACTATCTTTCAAATCTGTTCGATTCATCCTTCAGTTCTTATGTTGCGTTCATTGCCTCTGTAAATCTTTGCATTTGAGAGAGATGACATTGACACCAGAAGGATATTTTACATCCATTTCTAGTCATTTTTATTGTTTACAAATTGGATGAACGGTGCTCTATTGCAAAAAGAAAGTGAATTGGTTGATTGTAGTCGCAACATATCAAAAGTTGTCCTGACCAGCAAGCACATTCCAATTTCCTGGCATGTCTGTGTGGGTCAAGTGCCCCGGATACTCATGTGAACATTAACACAGATATTAGTTCTGCGGTCCTACCTGATCGTGTCGCTTCTGATTAAGGTGACAAGTCTTTTTCTGGTAAATTTTGTGACATGCTGCGTGTAGCATATGGACAATCCACTGCAGACCTCAGATGTGGCAGTAGGTTTCGTCCTGTTGAGGACTAAACGGACACAAAATCACAACCCAAGCTTATAATTTATGGATTTAAAAAACTCGAAGACATCCAGATAGTCGGAACGAATCACGCATAAGCAATCCCCTATATTGTTTCTGCAGTTTGTGCGAATAAGTCAGCTGGGTTATAACAGATAAAGCTCATAAGTGTGCATCCATTGACCGGACGGCCAAGAGATGTTTATTCATCATTGAGCAGGTTCACAACAACAGATGTTTGTGTCCCCTTGACAAAACTGTCTGGTTTTCCAATCGCTTTGGGTCGCGCTGTTGTATCCACCAACTGGTTCTGCTCTATATGTATTGCTGTCATCTACAAAACTACTCGAGTGGGCAAAATTACCGTCAGCGTAACTTCACATTGAAGCCCACTGCCAATATAGATTTGGTTTTCTTTTTAAAGCAGGCAATAAGTGCGCTGAACTACCCCTGTTAAGCCAGCAACCTAGTCTCCCAGTACATATGAAGTTAAGCGAAATAGATGCCCTGGCAAAACTTCCGTGTCCCTCTTTCCTCGACACTGCCTGGCGTAACTTCACATTGAAGCCCACTGCCAATATAGATTTGGTTTTCTTTTTAAAGCAGGCAATAAGTGCGCTGAACTACCCCTGTTAAGTCAGCAACCTAGTCTCCCAGTACATATGAAGTTAAGCAAAATAGATGCCCTGGCAAAACTCCCGTGTCCCTCTTTCCTCGACATCCACTGCCTGGAACTTCAAGACCTCTCTCAGTGCATGCATCAGAAGTTTTCGTTAGTGACCAACAGACATATGAGTCATGGCCACTCTGGTTATCTCCGCTTGTGCACTCTACATGGTGCTAGCAGTTGAGATGGTGGGTCTGGCTGCACGGAACCGGGTAAAACTTAGTGAACAAATAAATACAACGGGTATTCGTGACATCAAACGTGGGTTAACGTAGCGGTCTGTAAAAACAGCTCCTTCACAGGATGGCAGTCATTCAAATTAGAGGTTCATCTTAGCGCTCTTCGCAATCGATTTCCCTGATCCACCATTTTTCCGCCACTGGAAGGAGAAAGCCTTTATTGAAAAATGTCACCTGACCAGTTACAGACAGGAAAGCAAAGCACTCATATGCATCTTAATTACAGAACCTGAACGCTGGCTGCACGGAACCGGGTAAAACTTAGTCAACAAATAAATACAACAGGTATTCGTGACATCAAACGTGGGTAAATGTAGCAATCCGTAAAAACAGTTCCTTCACAGAATGGCAATCATTCAAATTAGTGCTCTTCGCAATCGATTTCCCTGATTCACCATTTCTCTGCCACTGGAAGGAGGAGGCCTTTAATAGAAAATGTCAACTGACCAGTTACAGACAGGAAAGCAAATTCTCATATGCATCTTAATTACAAAACCTGAACATCCATCTTCTCTTGAACGCGTCTTCCTGAACTTTCCCGGGTATTTATTGAGTGTTGCTCAAGTCCAAGCAAATGCTCCAAAGCGAGTCCACAAATCCACAATAGATCTCCCTTTTCAAGCGAATTTACAAGAAGCAAACGTACTACTCGCATGCCTCTCCGATCAGTAGCATCACCATTACACCAGGTTGTTGAAGCTGACTTGGAATCTCTAATTGGTTTTCTCATCAGTGATCTACTCCCTCTCTCTTGACTTTTGTTTTCAATAATTCAAGGTTTTAGTTGACTGTGCTTATATTTCTAAAGTCAAATGAAAGAATCCTTATTTAGCTTCACATGTATCTGAGTATAAAAGATGACTTGACAAAAAATTGGAATCGGAAGGCGAAAGAAATCCACAAAAACCTCAAAACGTGACCTCAAAATCAAAGTATAGTCGTTATCGGCACCCGTAAGTTACAAACATGTTACAAGGCAGGTTCTACGCCTAAAATCACACCGGCACAGGATTCGGTTGAACAAGACCAGACTGTCAGAAATTTTGGGGCTCGGAGATGAAGAATAATGGGGTGAGCGTAGGCTGAAGATTCAATGAAAGGTAGGTAGCAACCAAGCGGATTGCAGTTGCCTCTGTGCTTCAGCCTTCATCATGTTGATCCGTGGCAGTGACAAGAGGGAATGGGTTTGCTGAAGTGCGAATTCTGTAGACAGATGAAGCAACTGTGGTGCGATGATTTGACGACTCCGCTTTGTGAACACAGGAAAGTATACGAGGTTGGATACCTTTCATAGAGGAAACTACTCACAAGGTTGCTGAAGACTCTTCGACAGCGCACGACCATTTTTGCCCTTCTTGGCGCTCATCGGGTAGGCACAGTCCCCGAGTTTCCAACAACTATATTTTTTACTTGAACCCAAATTGGACTGTTTGCGGAACAAGGTCTGATTTGCGAATGATGCATTTCTCTGGGAATACCCTACCTGATGAGCCCCAAGATGGGCGAAAACGGTCGTGGGCTGTCGAAGAGCTTCCAGCAACATTGAGTAATTTCCTTTATTGAAATATACTGCGATATCTCGAATATCATGCCAACTGAATCATGAGGTGGCCTGTGTGCGGCACATTCAGTTGTAGAATATCATAAACGAGAAATTCAGTTGAGTCTCTCGTGAAAACCAGACTGATTTGCAAATGAGTGTATTTCTCGAAGGTTGGATACCTATTTGAAAAAAACGTTGAGGGTCACCCACTCTCGGAACCTGTCTAGGTATTGGTTATCCCTAGGACTGGGAATGTCTGTCGTGAATAGGTGAGAAAGTCGAGTTGCCACTAGTTTGCCGAAGTAGAGCTTCCCCGCATACTTTGTTCGATAACTAATTGGGTTTGCACATTCTACTGTCAAAATGTTGCGACATTTATCCATGACAGCCTGAGTGCGCTTTGCGGTGGAGTACGTATGTCACAAAAATTTAGGGATCTTGAGCACATAGTGACGTGATTCATCAGTTTTCTGTTTCACTGAGAAACCAGGTGAACTTCAATCTCTGTTAGATACATCCTCATCCATTCGAAAGGCGAAAGCACTACTTATTATTATTGACATTAAGAAATAAAGTGAAATAAAGTACAGACAAGACAACACGAATAACCACGACTTCATTCTTCGGGTGGTAGGTTGTTTTCTGCCCTTCCACCCGATTTGAAAGATTTCGAGTCGTGTTAGTTTATTTTAGCAGTACTGGATAATGTGTAAGAAAAAGCCAAGGAAAACTGCATAGCTTCTTACACTACCCATAAGGCTGCTGAAAATTCTTCGACAGCCCACGACCGGTTTCGCTCATCTTGGGACTCATCGACCTCATGTCATACTACAACCCAAATCGCACAAAATTAAAGAAATACATTTATTTGCATATCGATTTGATTTTGCAAGAGACTCACCTGGAACCCCGCTGAATCTCTCGTTTATGGTATTCTTCAACTGAATTCGCTGCACAAAGGCCGCCTCATATTGCAGTTGGCACGATGTTCGAGATATCGCAGTATATTTTCATGGAGAAAACAGCTCACTAGGTCTAGGAGTTTTCAGTAACCTTGTGAGTAGTAACCTGCATGAAAAAGAATTAACGTCTTACTTCTAGTCCATACGTTTCGAGTTTCCGTGAAATCCAGCTGTGAGCAGCACTAGACGATGAATTCTCAGTATCCCGATACAGATTGGTCTAACACCAAGGTAACGTACTGGGAAGTAAAGAACGATTAGCTAAGTACATTCTTTCTCATACCAATTTGGTTCTGACGGGAGACTCCCCTGGAACCAAGCTGGATCTCTGGTTTGTGATGTTTTTAACCAACTGAATGTACTGCACCAGGCTGCCTCGAGATATCGCAATACTTGTATAGACGTCATACACTACTCATAAGGTTGCTGAAAATTCTTTGCACAGTTGCTTGATTCTTCGTCTCAAACACACCAACCTCTGTAGCCCATGGAGAAATGCTCGACCTTGTGGATGGAATTCTTGCGTACTTGGTTTGACCTACGACTGAAAGTGCACGTTTGCCTTTGCAACACATTGGTGTATTTAGCATTAAACGAATTCACGAATTCAAGAGCCAGGGTTGAACGTTTCACACTACCTGGTAGTTTAGATGGAATGTAAGTTTCATAGTGGATTTAGCAAGGGATCATGACAACTTCGGCGGGAATAAGAAGGTGCATCGGCGTCGAGATGTCCCTAATTGGGAGTACAATCTTAGCGCTGATGTACCAAAGTTGAACACATCCAATTTCCTACTGCGCACGGATGCCGCGCGACTTGGAGATGGGACGGTGACTGGAACACCGCCAGCCTAGACAAGACTAATCGAAAAGCAAAAATTAATCTCGAACCACGGTGAATAGAAGCAGCTTGTGTCCTCACTGAGACATCGATTGTGACACATTTTTGAATCCACGCAAAAATCGGAACCACATATTATGGGACTTTAACACAAGTGGCTACTGATTGGGCTACTGATGGCACAGCGAGGCAAAACAACTGTTGCTGCTTGACCAACGAGACCGAAGTGCTGTTTGGTCGGCGTGAAGCATGCTAACTAAAGCCAGTCAAGTTTGTCTAAACCGTGACTATGCGGTGTACATTCAGCTCATCTGTGCGCAGCAGTAAAGCAAAATTTTTAGGTAAAGGCGATTTTTGCAAGGGTAAAAGCGATCCTTCGAAAAGAAGACCTCGTGTGCTGAATTCTACATCCGTTGAAAATCGGAGCATGAAACTTTTATCATACAACGTACAAAATGGGACCACAATAAAGGTTGTAGGGTCGAGTTTGGTGCTATCTGCTCAGGCTGCAGGCAAGTGATCGTTCAGCTGCCGTTAATCTGTAGCACCCTTCCGGTGCCTAACTGCCATGCCACCCGAAGGTTGCACGAGGGCTGGGATACTACCAGGTTGCCCAAGCCTAGACAGGGGAAGGTGAGAGGCAGAGGACGGGTTCGAACCACGGACCTTCCGATCAGCAATTTCGCGCTCTAACATCTTCGGCCGTCTCGCCGTCTCACAGGCAAGTGAGTGGAAAAGCTAATGTAAATAGCTCCATCTTGCCAATAAAACGACGTGGTCGGAGTCCACGCTGATGTTCCAGAAGGAGCGGCAGGCGGTGATCGACCCTCGCCGCCGATAACTGACAGCAATGTGGTCTATTTGGATTCGGCGCTGGTTTGTTGGTGGGCACCACATTGTCAAGCGATTTCTGATGTTCCGGAAATTCTTGCTGCAAAGGAACACTCTGCGATCGGCACACATCTGAAGTAAGCGATCTCCGTTGTCCGTGCGTCGCGTGTCCAAACCAAGACGACCACCTATTCGGGCCTCAGCAGCTCTTGGTCTACTTAACTGGGCGTTTCAATCACTAGCAACCACAACGTATCTGAGCTTTTAGCCTGCTATAGAATGGCACCTAGATCGTCATAGAAACTGCCCTTGGCAGATTCAGAGCTACAGTCAGTTAAGGTGTAAGCAGACACAATAGACAAGGTCCAATGAAATACATCCATTTGTAAATCAGTTTGGTTTCCACGGCAGACTCGATTGAACTCTCGTTTCATGATGTTCTCCAACTGAATTTGCTACACACAGGCCGCCTCATGATTCAGTTGGCACGATATTCGAGATATCGCAGTATATTTTCATAAACGAAACCTCTCACAAGGTTGCTGAAAACTCTTCGACAGCCCACGACCGGTTTCGCCCTTCCTGGAGCTAACCAGGTAGGCGCGGTCCCTGTCAGCCTTATGTCCTACTTGAACCCGAATTGCATTATTGTCGAGAAATGCCCTCATTTCCAAATCAATTTGGTTTTCACGACAGACACAACTGAATCCCTCGTTTATGATATTACACATAAAGTTCATGGAAACTCAAGGAATGCCCCTACCTGGTGAGCCCCAGGAAGGGCGAAAGCGGTCGTGGGCTGTCGAAGAGTTTCCAGCAACCTTGAGAGTAGTTTCCTTCATGGAAATATACTGCGATATCTTGAATATCGTACCAAATGAATCATGAGGTGGCCTGTGTACGGTAAATTAAGCTGGAGGACATCATAAACGAGGGATTCAATCGAGTCTCCCGTGAAGACCAAATTGATTTTCAAATGGATGTATTTCTCGAAAACAGTGCAATTTGGGTTCAAGCAGATCATAAGGTTGACGGAAACTCGAGGACTGCGCCTACCTGATGAGCCCGAACTGGAAGGGCGAAACCGGTCGTGCGCTGTCGAAGAGTTTTCAGCAACATTGCGAGCAGTTTCCTTTATGAAAAAAGGTCCGATGAACCTCACTTCCTCAAGATTCTCTCAACGATGTTGCCAAACGAACCGCACAGAGGCGACTGTCTACGGGTATCCAATCAAGCAGAGACGTTTCCGCTCGTTCGCTCAATACAATACCCACCCGAGCTTATCCATCTGCAGCGGCCTCTGCATCACCAGAGGTGCGCAGTCGGAACCTGGAAGAGAGCGAGGGGGCAGTCAGTTCGATTACAGTACTTGCGTCCTGCGTCTTTGTTTCTGACAGACAACATACATCAATACAGAGGGAATCCAGCGTACGCACAAGAGCCACCTGTTGACCTGCTTGCTTCAGTGTGCGAACATTGAAGGTGGCTAAGTAGACAGGCTCTCGGGGTTTGAAAACAGACTTTGAGGTGTTTAGGGTTGCAACTGAACTTGGACGTGCAGAAGCTGCAGCTGAGTGTGATGCAAAGTGAGCAAAGCGGTCAGTCCTAGAGCTGGGACCTGCGGATAAAGTATTCAAATTTGGGTCATCATCATCATCATCGTCAGCTGTAAGAACCGCGTACTCGTCGTACACTGGTTTTAGCTGCCGCAGTTTCGTTCACCGATGATTTGGGGAGGGGGGTAGGTAGCTGCGCATTGCACGCGCGAGCTGGTAAATTGGTGCATAAATCCAGCACTGTCAGTGGGCTGTCAAGTGAAGGGGGGTTAGAAAAGGAGCTATGCATTGAAGGCAATATCTTGGGTGTGATGCAGGGCGAGCAAAACGGTCAGTCCTAGAGCTGGGACCTGCGGATAAAGTATTCAAATTTGGGCGGGGGAGGGTGGAAGACGGAAAACGTGAAAGTGTAAGAAGGGAGGCGTCAGCAGAAGCATGTTTTCGCTTACCCGCCCTGCTGTATGCAGCAAGTAAGGCGACCCGGCTGAGTGTAAGAAGGGAGGCATGTGTGAATAGTAGTTGGTTAATAGAATTCCAAAAGTCGATATTGAACACTCACACGTCCCAACCAACTAGGGCGGAATGGTAACAATTCAGCCGTAAACGTGATATATCAACAGAGCGGCATTTCCCTTGATTAATTGGTGCAAAACTGTCATTCCACTTGATTCAGATGAAACTCGCGTTTTTCTGATATCCAGATGAATTGCAAATGCTCCAGCTGATTCGTTTTTTCGTCTGTTTGAGTGAAGTCCGCATTGTTGTTCAGCGAAATAGAAACCGGTTTCAGGCGGAAGTCGTCGAACAAATGAAGTGCTCACTGGAACGTTCCAAGGCTATCGATTTTCAAGGTGGATGAACATTGCGTCACCAGAGTGACACATTATGCGATATTTATCCGGGTAATATTCCTGACTGCAGCTTTGTGTGTGTTGTCATTCCAAAGGGAAGCTCGATAGCGATAGCGTACTTCTGCTACAGGCAACACGATCGTGAAACGTTATACCTCTGATGTTTCTCAAAACGGTTCCTCGTTTTGGAATTTCCTATAACCGACGAACCTATACAAGTACCGTAAGATAAAATTTACAGTCTCAAGTCTTGGATGGAGCCAACCACCAAGGGAACTCTTCAACGACCCACTGTCGGTTTCGCTCTTCTTTGGGATTGTAAGGTAGAATCAGCAGTCGAAATATAAATCGGTATATTTCGCTGAACGCTCATACATTTTCCAGCAGAGAATTACTTTTTATTCGTAATAGCTACGAATAGGAATCATATCTCACGTTTCACTAGAATTTCGTTCGGAATAGTCCAATTCTTGACAAAATAATCTGTTATTTTTTTCATTCAGCTGCACTCGACGCTCCCACTACGGCCCTGGAGCGCGACTGACAAAACAAGCCAACCAACTGTCGATTGACAGCAGTTTCGAAACCTCCTCCGACGGGAGTAACAAATTCCAGCTGACCGGACTTCAGCTAGCCGATGCAAAACGAGAGTCTACCCAGGGACTGATAAACACACAAATACGGGAGAGTGTTCAAAGAGCTCCTCGGTCTTTTGCACCGAAACCTACGCAGGCAGTTGGAACGACAACAGACGGCGAATACGGTAGCAAAGCAACTGCGCATACCATTCCCCCTTAGCTTCGGGTAAGTGAATGTTGCTTATTAGCCATTTTTCTGTCTGTAAGAACCTCTCACTTTAGCTATTCGGTCTGATTGGGATTTGGTCTTCATGTCCGTGAATAAGACTCAAAACACTCACTGATATGTCCGGCATTGATGTGTGTTCACTTTGTCCTGCAATCAATATCAGTAATTGACCCCTACACAAAACTACTTAATTTAGCAAAATTCACTGATTGTTTATACACCGCATTTTTGCAACTATTTATCCGAACCGTTTTTGGCAGACAATACAAATGGACTTGTACGAATAGGTAAACAAGGTCACTCAGTACTCTCCTGCTACTACGACCCCAAAGAAGACAAATGAATTAGTGAATCAAACAGAGGAGGTCACAAACAGCTAGATATCGTGAATGGAGAGGGCATCTTAACAGAGCAGGTCATTGGATAAGTGGAGCACTGTTATTCCTGAGTACTGTCACTGTCATTTAAAGCATACTGGTGAAAGGAAGAAGGCCTTTGCTGCCGAGTTATTTTTTTAAGAAAATGCCAACTGAACAGTTACAGACTATTGGACAGGGAAGCAAAACTCTCATATACATCTTGTTTACAAAACTGGATATCCATCTTCTCCTTGAACGCGTCTTTCTGAACTTTCCTGGATGTTCATTTACTGTTGCTCAAATGATACAAAGCGACTCTACGAATTCCGTAATAGATCTCACTTTTGAAGAGACGCAAAGCAGATTTACGAGAAAACATGCTACTCGCACGCCCCCATCAGTAGTATCGCCGTTGCACTGGTATTTGTTAGCTCGCCTGTTTGTCTACTGCTCAGCGAAGGTGGACTGTGTGTGTGTGAACGAAGCCAGACAGTTTTGGTCGTTGGTTACTCGAGAGTGAGGTCCAAAGGACATGAAATCGCATGTTACTATGTTTTAGCGGTTTTTTTAAAGACAGCGAGATGGCATAAATAGTACAGAGTGAGGCTGGCTGCTTACTGTTGCTGCATTGTCCGCAAAGGAATACACGTTAGCTATTCAGCCAGTGATATACGATTGAAATTGGACTGTACATTCGTGCTAGATTTGAAGCAGCTTCATAAAGTGCATCTTTCCTGAACTCTTCGCCAATGGCCAGTGTCGTTTTTGTCACACTAGGCACTGCGTTTTCCCAAATCCGTAAACCTGCGCAAAGTTAATGTAATCATCCTTCGTTCCCCCTCTTTGCTGGTTGGTTATCTCACGCGCTACTTGCAGCTTCCTGAGTTTGGTGTTGATTCGATCGAACGGTAATCGAGTCATCTGCCAGTTGTTGAAATCCTAAACATGGTCCGGCATATCCATTGCCACGGTCATGCGCACTTTGTTCACCAGTAGTATTACGATGGGTTCACTTTTCTGAATATGTCCGTGTGAGCACCGGTACAGTGATTTGCCCCACATGTTTTCAGGGTGTGTTCTAAACTGGCGCAATTCTGAGGACGCACACCAGCACTCAAATAACACCGACGCACTGGTGAAGTCGCTGATGAGACGCTGGCGGCTAACTTGTCCAGCTCAGCGGACAAATCGAAACCCGTTTATGCTACCTGGATTGTTGACACTCTCTTTAATAGTTCGTTGTATTGATCGAAGGGTCAAGGAGCATATGGCTCACTTCCGAAGGAAATATGGGGTGGTTACTAATCCTGGGAACCATGATTTGGAAGTAAATGCAAGATCACAACGTGTCACTAGTTAAGAGATTCTCTAGGTACATGCCAGTAGCTGACGGCCTATGTATCTTTATCGATGTGGATATTCCAGTTCTACTAGTAAGACTACTAGAGGAGCAGTTAGTAGTGTTTGCATGCCCGACAATACAAATGGATGCGTTTTATTCTATTCCCCATCTTCTGTGTATAAAATCCAGTGAGGCAACGCGACACCATTTTACGTAACTTACATCGGAAAGATTGGGAAAAAATACAGCAGCCGGGCCCTGTTTGCTAACTTGTCCAGCTCAGCGGACAAATCGAAACCCGTTTATGCTACCTGGATTGTTGACACTCTCTTTAATAGTTCGTTGTATTGATCGAAGGGTCAAGGAGCATATGGCTCACTTCCGAAGGAAATATGGGGTGGTTACTAATCCTGGGAACCATGATTTGGAAGTAAATGCAAGATCACAACGTGTCACTAGTTAAGAGATTCTCTAGGTACATGCCAGTAGCTGACGGCCTATGTATCTTTATCGATGTGGATATTCCAGTTCTACTAGTAAGACTACTAGAGGAGCAGTTAGTAGTGTTTGCATGCCCGACAATACAAATGGATGCGTTTTATTCTATTCCCCATCTTCTGTGTATAAAATCCAGTGAGGCAACGCGACACCATGTTACGTAACTTACATCGGAAAGATTGGGGGAAAAATACAACAGCAGAACCCTGTTTCGCTTCAAGCCCGTAAGCCAAAAGCACACATTGTCCGACTTGATAAGGTTGTCTTGGGCGTTCATGGATCACAAACCCACGTGTGCATTTCGCGGATCCATTTCTCACCCCAACTGCTGATGAACGAGAGGAACTGAAAACACCAAGGTTATCCTAGTTTTCAAAGGGATAAACGACGTTGACTTGATGGGAACCTCTAGGCCGGTCATGGGCTTTATCTGGCAACGTTCCATACCCTTTTCAGATTAGGACAACCTGGCGTTCATTACAGTATGTCTCGGGGAAATGCGGCAGGAAGTCTAAAGTATGCCAGTAGGAACGAAAAACTGCGCATGATGCACTCGGCTAATCTTATGGCGAAAAGTTGCAGAAATATACATTTTTATATGACCTCCGCTCACTCGCGAAACGTGATCTCTTAATTCTGAGTTATTTTTGTTGGTGCACAAGGCTGTTTTATTAGAGGAACACTGTATTGTAACGTGTCAATAGAAAAACATCATTTTGCACCGTAACCTGTACAGCCACGTGACCTCCGACATTTTAAACTACTAATCGAAGTAATATTGGGCTGAAAGTAGTTCACAAATACGGGGGAACTATGTTACCTCCGGTTAAGGAACATCCACGGCTTTTGCGCGGTTAATGTCTGGTGAAATCTGAGCGAGATGACTCTGATTGGAGCGTGAATTCACCAACCGGAAGATCAGTCGTTCGAAGCCGATCTCTGTCTATCTGGGCTTAGGCAACCTGGCCGTATCCCAGACCTCGTACTTCCTTCTGGTGGCATGATAGTTAGGCACCGAAAGGGTGGTACAGCCGAAGGATATTTTTCTGAAACCGGTTCTGTAAAATTTTCGCATTTATGGAGGCTAATTGGCCATCTCAGGAGTCATTAAGTACTCTGTCTTACATCTAGAAGGACTGCTTTTGAAGGCAGTAGTTAGAGGAAGACCTAGTCTTACTTTTGAATGAGGTCCTCAAAAAAGACTGTTTGCTTTTTTTAGAGGAGACTCTAGCGCCACGCCACTCGCTCTTTAATGCATAAACAGCAAACAAGGACGCACGATATGTGATTAAAACGTGAATAACGTGACCGAGGCAAGCATGTTCGACCCATACGAACCGAACTCATTGCGGATCCTAAACGTGCCCCAGGAAGCCTAGACTTTGGTCAGAATATTCTTGACATTATTCTATATAATCATTAGTATTCATTGACAGAGCATATCGATGTATTGTCTCTCGATCAGACCACTACAACAAATGGAACCCTTCAAACACAAGGCTGCCACGGCTACAGGCAACAAGACTCAAGGTTACGGCCGCAGACACGTTAGAGACAATCAATCAAGCAAGCCCGATCACAACCCACCCACTCATCCCGACCCTGCATCCAAAGTGATTTCCTACCCAAATTCCTTCAGCAGTTTTGGAATCAACTTTTTCTTTCACTGTGGTTGGCAAGTTTTTCCTGTGTAGACAAAAGCTTCTAGAACCTCAAGATGCTCTCGAAGGAATTGATTTTGAGATTTGTGTTTTTCACAAGGAGTATGATTGATTTTTTCTGAACCCAAAAGATATAGAAATTGTGGTTCACTGGACAGTATCGACTTCTGGTATTGATGTGAGGGTCTCTTTTTTTACCTACCTTTAACCAGGTATGATAATATCGGGTCGGTCAATAAGCTTATAGTATAATTCAGTGGCTCCAGTTTAAGATTCACTTTCCTACTTACAGAACTCCAGTAGTCTATTTTGAAAGGCAACCGGTGAAATTATTGTTAGAGGTGAACACGGTGTCACCTGCACTAACGATTAACCAAATTAGTCCTTGTTTCTGTTGTGATTATCTGTTTCGTGTGGTTGTGATGAGCAAGAAAAACAAGTAGATGAGAACTACCGTGTACTGACTGGCAGACAGAACGCGGAATATATGATTGGCCATGCATTCTCAGTTGCCAACCAATGGCATTTCGACGCGGAACCGACTTCCACCGTTGCACCACCAGTAAAATGGAATCGAACGGGATGTCACTTGTGGCTATTCGTGTCCAGTCTGTTTGGGTAGCACAACACTTCCCCGGTATGTTTAGCATTGAAGCCCGAACACTTTCGAGCTTTTACTAGTACGGTCAGAATATGAGTTTGGTTGAGCTGCGGCTGCTTCAGGTGACCAGAAGACCGGGGAATTAATCACAACTCGTGGACTGGCGTCGCACAAACTACCCATACGAACCGAACTCATTGCGGATCCTAAACGTGCCCCAGGAAGCCTAGACTTTGGTCAGAATATTCTTGACATTATTCTATATAATCATTAGTATTCATTGACAGAGCATATCGATGTATTGTCTCTCGATCAGACCACTACAACAAATGGAACCCTTCAAACACAAGGCTGCCACGGCTACAGGCAACAAGACTCAAGGTTACGGCCGCAGACACGTTAGAGACAATCAATCAAGCAAGCCCGATCACAACCCACCCACTCATCCCGACCCTGCATCCAAAGTGATTTCCTACCCAAATTCCTTCAGCAGTTTTGGAATCAACTTTTTCTTTCACTGTGGTTGGCAAGTTTTTCCTGTGTAGACAAAAGCTTCTAGAACCTCAAGATGCTCTCGAAGGAATTGATTTTGAGATTTGTGTTTTTCACAAGGAGTATGATTGATTTTTTCTGAACCCAAAAGATATAGAAATTGTGGTTCACTGGACAGTATCGACTTCTGGTATTGATGTGAGGGTCTCTTTTTTTACCTACCTTTAACCAGGTATGATAATATCGGGTCGGTCAATAAGCTTATAGTATAATTCAGTGGCTCCAGTTTAAGATTCACTTTCCTACTTACAGAACTCCAGTAGTCTATTTTGAAAGGCAACCGGTGAAATTATTGTTAGAGGTGAACACGGTGTCACCTGCACTAACGATTAACCAAATTAGTCCTTGTTTCTGTTGTGATTATCTGTTTCGTGTGGTTGTGATGAGCAAGAAAAACAAGTAGATGAGAACTACCGTGTACTAACTGGCAGACAGAACGCGGAATATATGATTGGCCATGCATTCTCAGTTGCCAACCAATGGCATTTCGACGCGGAACCGACTTCCACCGTTGCACCACCAGTAAAATGGAATCGAACGGGATGTCACTTGTGGCTATTCGTGTCCAGTCTGTTTGGGTAGCACAACACTTCCCCGGTATGTTTAGCATTGAAGCCCGAACACTTTCGAGCTTTTACTAGTACGGTCAGAATATGAGTTTGGTTGAGCTGCGGCTGCTTCAGGTGACCAGAAGACCGGGGAATTAATCACAACTCGTGGACTGGCGTCGCACAAACTAGTAACTGCCTCTCCTCCCATCTTTTTATCGGGTAATTCAACCTTGGATAAAAACTACACCACAAAAGTGCGATTCATGGTTGTGGAGCGTTTTACGTATCTTGGAAGTTGTATTAGTTCTGACTGTAGTGTGACAGATGAGGTGAATGCACGAATCTGCAAGGCTCGGGCAGCGTCTGCTAACTTGAGACACCTATGGCGTCAGAATGGTTTATCCCTGAATCTGAAGGGACGTGTGTATCAAGCTACAGTGCGGGCTGTTTTGTTGTATGGCTGTGAGACTTGGCCTATTCGTGCAGCGGACCTGAGACGTCTTCAGGTGTTCGACAATCGTTGTCTCAGAACCATAGCTCATGTGGGTTGGTGTCGGCGAATCCGTAACGAGGCAGTTAGAAAGCGTGTTTTCGGCTGTGTAACGGCTACTTCCATTGAAGAATGTGACCAGCACCAGGAGCTGCGTTGGTTGGGACATGTGTTACGTATTCAAGGTTAATTCAAGTTTTAATTGTCTAAAAAGCAATTAACTTTACAACGACCATAGGGTGAACGTATATACACAAAGGGACGCAAAAATATACGTAATGTTTACTGAGTATCACATGGAGTTAAATAGTTCCAGATTCGGTTTGGACATAAGATGTGCATCTAAATTGTTCTTGAAGATGGTTAAACTCAGCGAATGTACAACATTGGGAGGTAGGGAGTTCCAAATGAAACATACACGGACCGCCAAAAAGTTCCGTCGACAGTTCACCCTCGAGTGAGGTACCGCGAGCGAAAAGTCATGCCTCCTGCCCGTTCGTGTTCGACGTCGGACAAAAAGGTCTTCCAGCGGATGATTAGGTGTCTTCAGTATATTCTATGTTAGAATTAGGTCTCCCCTGATGCGCCGATAGTAGAAGTCA